TTTAGAGCAGTGAAAATACTCTGTATGGTATTATAATGATGGCTATAAGTCAGTATATATTTGTCCAAACAGATAGAACATACACCACCAAAAGTAAACCCTAAGGTAAACTATGAATTTGGGGTGATTATGACGTGCCGATACAGATTCATCCTTAGTTAAAAAAAAAAGTGCCATTCTAGTGAGTGATATTGATAACGGGGGAGGCTATGCATGTGTGGAGGCAGGGGATATATGAGGAATCTCTCTACTTCCCCCTAAATTTTGTTGTAAACCTAAAACGTCTCCAAAAAAACCCCAACAAAGTATTTAAAAAAAGAATTCTTAGACATTACACCAAAGGTATGTTCTATAAAAAATACCGATAAATTGGACTTCTTTAATATTAAAACTTTTGCTCTCTGAAAACCTTATTAAGAAGATTAAAAGAGAAGTTACAGACAGGCAGAATGATATTTGTAAGCCACATATTTCACAATGGACTCAGATGTAGATTATATTAAAAAAATCCCAGGACGCCATTGTAAAAAAAACATTCAGCGGGCTTCCCTGGTGGCAGAGTGGTTAAGAATCTGCCTGCCAATGCAGGGTACACCGGTTTGAGCCCTGGTCTGGGAAGATCCCACATGCCGCAGAGCAACTAAGCCCGTGCGCCACAACTACTGAGCCTGCACTCTAGAGCCCGCAAGCCACAACTACTGAAGCCCACATGCCACAGCTACTGAAGCTTGCACGCCTAGAGCCCATGCATGCTCTGCAAGAGAAGCCACCGCAACGAGAAGCCTGAGGCACCTCAACGAAGAGTAGTCCCCGCTCGCCGCAACTAGAGAAAGACTGCTCACAGCAATGAAGACCCAATGCAGCCAAATAAATAAATATAAAATAAAAAAACAATTCAATTAGAAAATGGAAAAAAGACAAGAAGAGACATTTCATTGAAGTGATATACATACAGATGGCAAATAAGCACGAAAAGATGTTTATCGCAGCAATTGTTAAAATATGTAAATTTCCAAACCCCACTCAAAACTCACTGCTCTGGAAAGTTTTTGCTTTTAAAATTTTTTAAATTGTGGAAAATATTGGGTTGGCCAAAGAGTTCCTTTGGGTTTTTCCATAACATCTTATGGAAAAACATGAACAAAAATTTTGACCAACCCAATACACAAAACATAAAATTCATCATCTTAACCATTTTTAAGTATAACGTTGAGTGGTGTTAAGTACATTCACATTGTTGTACAACCAGTCTCCAGAACTCTTTTTATCTTGCAAAACTAAAACTCTGTACTCATTAAACAAAAACTCCCCACTCAGGACTTCCCTGGTGGCGCAGTGGTTGAGAATCCACCTGCCAATGCGGGGGATATGGGTTCGATCCCTGGTCCGGGAGGATCCCACATGCCACGGAGCAACTAAGTCCGTGTGCCACAACTACTGAGCCTGCACTCTAGAGCCTGCGAGCCACAACTACTGAGCCCATGTGTCACAACTACTGAAGCCTGTGCGCCTAGAGCCCATGTTCCACAACAAGAGAAGCCAGCACAATGAGAAGGCCACACACTGCAACGAAGAGTTGCCCCTGCTCGCCGCAACTAAAGCCCGCACACAGCAATAAAGACCCAATACAGCCAAAAAAACTCTTCACTCCCCCAGCCCCTAGCAACCACAATTCTACTTTATGTCCCTATAAATTTGACTACTTTAGGTCCCTTATATAATGTCCCCGAGATTCATCTGTGTAGTAGCATATGTCAGAATTTCCTTCCTTTTTAAGGCTGAATAATATTCCATTGTATGTACAGACCACATTTTGTGTCTTCCCTTCATCCATCAGTGGACATTTGGGTTGCTTCCACCTTGTAGCTATTGTGAATAGTGTTGCTATGAATATCGGTGTACTGATCTGGAATTTCTGAGGGTGTGCCCCTGGAATCTACATGTTTAATAAGCTCCTTTAGTGTTTCTGGTGCACATTAAAGTGTGAACCACTACTCTAATGCAGGATTTTCCAAAGTATAGATGGAGAGGGATTTTTGGTAGCCCTCAGACAGACTATTACATAGATCAGACTCACACATGATAAAGTCAGTCCTTTCAGTTTTATGAATCATTCTGATTAGGTCAAGAGAAAGCATTGCTTTGGTGTTATTTATCTTGAACATCTAATTCTAATTTCCCTTTTTTAAGAAAGAGAGAGCAGCCTTCAGATTCAAAGCCTTCAGATCTTTCAGCAGACAATAATGATAGCTAGAACTTATTAACAATGTTTTGTTTTCGTTGTATTAGTCTGTGCCATTCCTTTCTATAAATTTCAAATGGTTTTCCGTCTATAATAATGGTATAGAGTTGCTTTTCAATAAATCTGCTTAACATTTTTGTTTAAATCAAGTAACTTTTTTAGCAAATAATATGGCCACAGATATTGAATACGGCAAAATCTGAAAATAGTCATATGCCAGTGAATGAAGTTTGGGAAATACTGCTTAGAGGGACATTAACATTTGGATCTTGCTCTCAACTTTACACACATGGAAGATGCACATGTCCAAGGTATCCAGTAGATGGCTCCTATATGGCAGAAATGTGAAGTCACCTGTCAGGTAGAGAAAGGCTGAGCACAGGTAGAAAGCATCCCCAGCAACCTCTGAAGCTAGCAAATCGTAACCTAAACCTTAGAAATGTCAAATAGTGATGCTCTTTGTATTTTCTGGATTGACCTTCTTTCTCTCTTCCGTTAGAGTTGAGTAAAATTATTTAAAAACATTAGCCTGTCTGGACTGTGATTAGAGACCATCAAAGAACAGAAGTAAACATGTTCCAACCACTGCAGCTGGAATTACAGACACCCCAAGAAAAATGTGAAAACATTGGGCAATTTCTCTGCATATAGAAATCTTCTTAGAATCGTATCTGCCAGGAACGTGGCAGCTTCCACGTTTAGATAACAGGATAATTTTACCCCAAGCTAATGATAGTAGCCATCACCGCACAGATTATATGCCAGTCACGGTGCCCCCTTTCCCACTTAATTCTCACAACATTCTAAAGGTTGACACTTATTATGTCTATTCCATGAATGAGGAAACAAACTCAGAGAGGTGAAGAGACTGGCTCAAGTGACACAGCTCAAACTCAAGCCTGCTGGGCTTCCAAAATCTGCCTCATCACAAGTCATCATTTTGTTCAGGTTCTTTGTGACCTTGGCTTCAAGCTCAGCTGCAGGTTTCTCTTCTTCCTGGTTTCAGAAGCAGAGGCTCAGAAGAACAACTTCCAGGCGACAGCTCCTCTCAAGATGCCACAGTTCTGGAGCTCCACCTAGGTCTATGAACATCTGTAGGACTTTATTAAATTTTCTGCTTATTTGAATTTGAAAGCTCTCAAAATATGGTTTCTAGTTACTACTAGAGTTGGCAGCACAATAGAAAAATGGAAAGGGACTTTCATTTCCCGTGTTTGCTAGAGCAGTTTGTCCAGGCCAAAGACCCATTAAGACAGGAAGAAGGAAGAGATGGTGAAGAGATGAAGATTTGCTAACTGACAGCAGAAAACACTGTCAGGTAGCTGTGCAAAAAAGCATCCTTTTCTCCCCCTCTGAAAAATCCTGTACCTTAACAATACACAGTTATTTCAAAAGGTTTCCAGAGCCTGTAAGTCCAGTAACACATTATACTCATGAGAAACTTTTCAAAACTGTTTCTTAGGTATTGATGCATTTTTGAGAGAAAAATCAAGCATACTGTCCTTAAAAACAAAAGTTACAGATTACGCTTCCACTTACGCCAGCTTATTAAACTTACTTTAAACCCCTGAAGTTTTGAAAATAGTGCAGGAGAAGAGTTAGGGGGTAATTTAGTGGGTTTCTTTCCCTCAGATAACATCTGAGAACATTTTCTCTAATAATAAAGGGCAAAGTACATGCAGTTGTGTAAACCGCAAAGGCTCCACCACTGCATGAGCGAAGCAGGAGCTCACCAGTTTGAAAAAAGAAAAAAAAAAAAGACCATTTCCCTAGCGCTCGCCGGGGGTCAGTAATGTGGTCCCAGAGCGTGGAAAGAGGCAATTCTTGGGCTGGAAACATTCCGTGTGGGAGACACTATCGCAAACGAGTGTAAAGAGAACACATGTACACTATGTGAGCCTGCAGACTCAGAAGGGAGGTCCCTTGTCATCGCTTTTACTTTTTTTTTTTTTGAATCCCGAAACTCTGGCACATAGCCGGTCAAAGAGCGGGGAGGGGAGGGGATGCCGCTGCTCACCCGCAAAACGACACGCGGGGCCCGGGCAGGGGATGGGAGGGCAGGAATGAAAGGGGATTCTGAAGTTTTGGAGAACCTTAGCAAAAAGAAAAAAACTATGGAAACTAACAGCCGCGACGTGGGTCTATTTGTTGCAAGAGCAGCACTTACGGAGCGCCCAGGCAAAAGAGAGCAGGAAAAGCGCAGAGAGGCGCTGGGGAGGAACCGCAGAGCGGCAACGGTGCTCTAGCTCCGTGCTTATCCAACTCTAACGCGGGTGAATCACCCGAGGAGCTCCGGTAAACGCATATTCGGATCCCCTTGGTCGAGGGTGGGGCTTAAGAGTCTGCATTTCTAACAACCTCCCAGATGTTACGTTGGTACCGCGGACCAGCAACTCAAAGTTTTTGACCAAACTTTGAGTAGCGAGGGGTTTGCTCGTTGCCCTAAGTAAATTCTGGGTTAGAGGACAAAGGGGTTCTCTGAAGAGGAAAATAAACTTTTGGGGCAGCAGCGACCTTAAAAGGGGCAACGATAGAAACGAACTGGAATGGGCAGGGATGGGGCTGAAACCTGGCCAAAGGAAGAGGGAAAGGGAGGAAGGAGGCGCTCACCCTCTGACTCTAAAAGAAAACGTCGCGAAGGATGGGGTGGGTTTCTTTGCGAAGGGCAGGAGACGCGCACCTAAGCACCTGAACCCGCAGTCTGCGCGCGGGGAATGCGGGGCGGGGGCCGAGGAGGCCAGGGCCGGCCTGCCCTTACCTGCGCTCACCCTGGTCCGTGTAGAGATTGAGGAACAGTCCCTCCCTGGTGTCCTGGTACACCGGGCCGGAGAAGCTGAGCTGCAGCTCATAGCGGCTCCCGGGCTGCAGGGCTTCGCCGAGCTCTAGCACCATGTACTGCATGTCCAACGCGAACCACACCTCGTCCACCAGCACGCGGCCCACGGTGGCGTCTCCGGCGTCCGGGGACAGTGGTCCCCGCACCTCGGCGCTTTCACAGTCCAGGAAGAGGCTGTGAAGCAGCAGCCGCGCCGTGGCCGCGATGCAGCGCACGGTGATGTTCACGCGGCCAGTGAAGCGCAACGCCGGCGCCGAGAGCTCTTCTGGCCTCAGACGGGGCCACAGCTCCAGCTCATAGTGCAGCGGCACGAGCCAGGACGGCAGGCGCAGCTGGTCCCAGGGTCCCGGGGGTCGCCAGTTGCGCGGGGTGGGCGCCACCTCCGTCTCCAGAGTGGGGCCGGGCTTCGGGGTCCGCGCCGGCTCCTGCCTGCCTGGCGGGGAGGGCGCGGCGTGCGGGCCCCCGCGGTCGTAAAGCTCCGACGGCGGGACGCGCGCGCAGTGGCCGTACAGGGCAGCGAGTACGGCCAGCGCCAGCAGGAGCACGGCAGCCAGCCCGGCCAGCAGCAGGGCTACCGCGCGGCTCACGTAGAAGCCGGAGCTGGAATGGGGTCCCATGGCCGCAGCCCGGGGCTGGGGGTGAGGTGAGACCCCGGCGGCGGCGGCGGCGGCTCAGACCCCCGGCCTGGGTGCTCAGTGATGGGACCCCCGCCCCTCCTCTCTTGTACCGTCCCTCCCTCCTCCTCGAGGAGCCTGGGAGACAGGAGAGAGCTGTTGGGACCTCGGCTTCCCCTCCCAGCTAATCAGATCCAGGTCCCTGCCTACCCACCCCCGCCCCCGCCAGGGCCTGGGGAAGAGGCGGACCTGGAGCAACTGAGCGCGCGCCCCTTTGGGTCTGAAGGGAAAGACCTCGCAGAGGAGCTTCCAGAGTAGGCGCAGGGAGGGGACGGTAGGACCAAACTCGAATTTGGGCACCTCCGACGGGGGGGGGCGGTATTTGGATTCACGGGATCTGTTGGGCGTGACCCGGTGCGGTTTCGGGTGTTGTCGGAAAAGAGACAGGTACAGAGCACCCTCGACTCCTTGACTGTAGTGATGAGCTGCGGGCTGCACACTTGCCGGCCACTACCTAGGGAATTCGTGCGCTAGGGGCTGGGGTGAGGGCTTACGAACCGGGACTTTGGGGCACATGCTTTGAAATGAACCTGCTAGGGACAGCCGCGCTGTCTGAACTAACTTCCGGAGCCAAATTTTTGGCCCTAAATTCGCCTCCTGCATAAGCTCGGGCCTCACGCGGCCCAGGCAACAAGTGCGAGGCTGGAAACAGGGTCAGGGGTGTCCCGGAGCCTTTTCCGAGCTTGGGAAGTGGAGCTGGAAGACGGGACGTCAAAAAACCGGAGAGCGTGGCGTCTGCGTCTCCAGATGATGGAGAGTGGAGGGCCGCTTTACCTTGGCGTAAAGCGGGAAGCCGCCTCTTAGATCCGCAACTGCCGGGGATGGGGTTTCCAGTCCTGGGGCAGTGTCTGGCTCTCCGCACCCCTGCCCGGGGAAAAAGGATGCCCTCCTTTCGGAACCTACTGGTTTCAAGCACAGAGAATAATACAGTCCGGTGGCCAGCCTCTTCCACTAGGAAACCGCTGTCTGGAACTCATCTCCCAGGCGGTGCCCTAGTCGGGCGAGGTCTTTGGCATCCTCGGCATCTGTTTGCTATTTATCGGATACTTCTGGGAGAGTTCCGCGTCCTGTGAGCCGAGTTCCCAGCCTGCAAGCATGCACTCGAGTGAATTGAGAATGGCTTTGCAAATACTCAGGAGGTGCTGGGGAAGAGGGACGGGAGGTGATTAAAGATCCTGCTGCTGGCGGATGATTTATTTGAGGGTATCCCGTCTTTAGACTCCTTCAGTTTTTTTCAGAATGAAGAGAATTTTTCCGTCGCAGCCATAAAATGGTCTTCGCTTTTCTGCTTGGAACTGTTATCTCCATTCCAATGAGGAAACCCTTCCACCTGAGGTCAGAGACAGGGTAAACGAAAGTGATTCTCCTGGGAGATGTGATCTTCCCAGTTCCTCGAACTGAAATTAATCACATTAACAAAAAGACTTCTGGAACAAGACAGGGAGGAGAAAGGAGACTTAACACCAGGCTCATGCAGATGGTTGTGCTGTAATCTGTGGACCAGTCTCTTTTTTTTTTCTTTTTTTGCGGTACGCGGGCCTCTCACTGTTGTGGCCTCTCCCGTTGCAGAGCACAGGCTCCGGACCCGCAGGCTCAGCGGCCATGGCTCATGGGCCCAGCCGCTCCGCGGCATGAGGGATCTTCCCGGACCGGGACACGAACCCGTGTCCCTGCATCGGCAGGCCGACTCTCAACCACTGCGCCACCAGGCAAGCCCGAAATTTTAATTTTTTTGAATGGGTAACATATTCATAAGTTTCAAAAACTGAGACAATATGAAAATTTATATCTTGCTTCCACTACTTCCACAGTTAATAATTTTCATAGTTATTTTGTATTCTTTCAGTATTTCCTTATGGAAATCAAGCAACTACAATTACATACCTTTGTGTGTCTCTTCTTTCCTACTTAAAAAAATACTATACTAAATATGCAATTCTGTACCTTGCACTTTCATTTAACAATATATCCTGGATGTCTTTCCATAACAGTCCACAGATATCTTTCACATTCTTTTCTGCAGCTGCATGCTATTATATTGTTTATGTACATACCATTGCAAAGATTTCCCCAGTTTGGTTATTTGAAAGGATTCACCAGCTTTCACAGAGTATTTTCATTTAAGCTTTTATTTAAAGGAAAATTATGGTGCAGCAAGAGAAAGAGAATACAGGCAAGCATTGGAAGTCAGAGAGACATCCCAAGTGCAAGCTCCCCAAGGGCCCTTATTTGCATGAGTGAGCCATGCTATGTCACCAGCTTGAACCACCAAGCTCTGTGAAAGGAATCTTGTTTACAGAAAGCTCAAAGGAGAAACTCTTAGGGAGGCTCTTTAAATAATCAAGCCAGGTTAGTCAGACACATAAATCCAGTTGTAAACCATCACTAAAGAAACTAACCCTAGGGGTCTCCAGGGAAAATTCCAGACCTTAATCAGCACATCATAAATTGATCAAGAGTCAAAAACCATATATCCAGAAGGAAGGCAGAGCCAGGATCACTGAAAATCTTCTCTTCCATGAAACCAATGTGAACACTGGAAACATTGTCAGAATTAACTATTTCAGAACTCAAGAAAGTAACCAAAATCTTGCAGCAATTAATGGAGTGTTTGTTCAAGAAAAATAGCCAAATCTCTGTAAAAAATCAGTGAGCTTTATGGCATTTTAACTTGCTTTATTCTCATTTTCCTCTCCTCAGTTCTGCAGTAGACTTAAAAATCAACGGCCTGGTATTGTGAAAACCAGCAGTCTGGCAGGCACTTAATGAAGCATAAAAGTGTTAAATTCCTTTAAAGCCTCATTCTGAGAGAACTGTCATTATTTGAACTATCTGATGATTCCCTGGAAGATGCTACTCTCATGGCTGTCTTTATTGACCAGATTCAGAGTTGACACAGTGCAAACAGTCTTTCCCCAGGGGTACTGGTTGAAAACAATCATAGGCAATTGTTTAATATTGCAACTGCCTGGAGTGGGCAAATAATTGAGGCAAACACTAAGCTCAACAGAAAGCTTAAAAGGAAAATTTCAGGAATTAGATATCTATAGGGGGCTTTGAAAAGCTCCAACATATTCCAAAAATCTAGAAGGCCACATGCATGTATACAGCTATGCACACGACTAAGGCTGTACACATGCTTAGAAAAGAACTGAGAAGGCCCTAAACTCTCACATCTAGCTAATCTTGAGGCACTGCTCAAGGCAGACGTGAACACTATGGCAGAAATGTCAACTGCCTGGATGTGTTGAAGGGGTGCCTCAACACACACAAAGAACCCCTTGGCAAAAACTGGGAAACTTACTGATTCTAGGTATTTAAGGAAACCTCTGTCTAACCATTAGCTGACCAATAAGCTAACTGAACATAGACATCAGTGGCTACTATAGCAAAGAATAGAGACTTTACTGAATTAGTTCAGAAAAGTCTTTAAGCTAACAAATGACAACAACAACAAACCCTGAAGAAGCAAGAAAATATTTTTTTTCAGAGTTGTCACATTATTTAAAATGTTTCCAATGAAAGAAAATTATGAGAAATGAAAAGAAACAAGAAAGTATGCCCATACACAGCAGAAAAAACAGTCAATAGAAAATGTTCCTAAGAACTTTTAATCTTTGGCCTTATGAGACAAAGACTTAAAATTAGCTATTTTAAATATGTTAAAAGAACCAAAGGAAAGCATGTCTGAAGACCTAAAGGAAAGTATGGGGACGATATCTCATCAAATAGAGAATATCAATAAAGAGATAGAAATTCTAAAAAAAGGACCAAATAGAAATTTTGAAGTTGACAGTACAATAACTAAAATAAAAACTTCACTGGAGGAGCTCAAGATCAGTTTTTAACCAAGAAGAATAAAGAATCAATGAAATTGAAGATAGGTCAAATGAGATTGTCCAGTTTGAATAACAAAAAAAAAAGAAGAAGAAAAATGAACAGGGCCTAAGAGCCCTGTGGGATACCATCAAGAAGACCAACATATGGGAATGTAAATTGATACAGCCACTATGGAGAACAGTATGGAGGTTCCTTAAAAAACTAAAAATAGAACTACCATATGACCCAGCAATCCCACTACTGGGCATATACCCTGAGAAAACCATAATTCAAAATGAGTCATGTACCACAATGTTCACTGCAGCTCTATTTACAATAGCCATGACATGGAAGCAACCTAAGTGTCCATCAGCAGATGAATGGATAAAGAAGATGTGGCACATATATACAATGGAATATTACTCAGCCATAAAAAGAAACGAAATTGAGTTATTTGTAGTGAAGTGGATGGACCTAGAGTCTGTCATACAGAGTAAAGTAAGTCAGAAAGAGAAAAACAAATACTGTATGCTAATGGTATTTTATTCCATATATATGGAATTCCATATATAAATGGTATTAGATTCTATATATATGGAATCTAAAAAAAAAAAAAGGTTATGAAGAAACTAGGGGCAGGATGGGAATAAAGATGCAGACCTACTAGAGAATGGACTTGAGGACATGGCGAGGGGGAAGGGTAAGCTGGGATGAAGTGAGAGTCGCATGGACATGTGTACACTACTAAATGTGAAATCGATAGCTGGTGGGAAGCAGCCGCATAGCACAGGGAGATCAGCTCGGTGCTTTGTGACCACCTAGAGGGGTGGGATAGGGAGGGTGGGAGGGAGGGAGATGCAAGAGGGAAGAGATTTGGGGATATATGTATATGTATAGCTGATTCACTTTGTTATAAAGCAGAAACTAACACGCCATTGTAAAGCAATTATACTCCAATAAAGATGTTAAAAAAAAAAGAAGACCAACATACAGATTGTGAGAGTCTCAAAAAGAGAAGAGAGGGAAAGGGGCAAAGAGATTATTTGAAGAAATAATGTACAAAAACTCCCCCAGTCTTTTGCAAGATATAAATCTACAAATCTAACAAGCTCAACAGATTCCAGGATAAACTCAAAGAAATCCACACCAAGGCATATTATAATCAAACTGACAACAGCCAAGGACAAAGAGAGAATCTTGCAAGAGAAGAAAGAAGTGATTTGT